GACGGGAGCATGAATGGGCTTGGAATCCAGTGGCAAAACAGGCATGCTGCAAAGAAAGTGATCGCCAAAGTTGATGTTAATGTGAATGGCCTGTTCCATGTGTAATCGGAATAACTGTAGTTGGCAGGGACCTCTGGAGGTCGTCTGCTCCATGCCCCCTGCTCAAAAATCAAACACAGGAGACACGGGGGTACCAAAATTTTGGGGGCCTGAGATGCCTGGGAAAGCAAAAGCAGGGAAAAGCAAAAGCTCCTAGTTAATACATATATTCCTCTAGTGGTTTTGTTTGAGTAATTAAATGGGATATAATTGCTGCATAGTGAAATATCCATTGCTTTTGCTGCTTGTTAAGTATTATTCCTGAAAATAACAGCGTTGCTTCATCTAAATTAGGATCAGATAAAATTCATAGCAATGAAGCTTGTGACTGGCACTTGGATGTCTTCATAAATAATGATACCTGGGGGTCAGGGCAAAAACGGACTCTCAAAAAAAATCAGGAGAATAAGCAGTTACCTCTAATACAATTAAGCTCTCGCTCCCTGTAAGAGGAGTGAGACCTTTCCTGTTTTTCACATCACAAGCTTTTCTCAACCTGACAGCATTGAAGAGCCTGACTTGTGTCAGCGACACCAAAGACCGGGCTCAGTTTTGATGGATGCTGTGGCGCTGAGCTTGTTAGCTGTTCCTTGTCCTAGCTCACTCCGAGAGGGTGGCATATTGAAATGAGTCTGCACCGGAGTTTTCCGTGACATTTAGTTCTTTCATCCCCAATACAATTTATCCTTTGCTTACTCTTTAAGTTTTTAAAACTTGTGCGGACGCTTAAGGGCCACGGAAAGAAGGGGCTGAAGCAGCTCCACCTGTGGATAACCTCTCATCTAATCTTAGTAGGGAAGCGGAGCTGGAAGCGTATCTGAACTAAAAAGGGGAGCGACTCCACCACTGTAACGCTTTCTGCAGCCTGCAAGGAACAGAAGCTCATCAGCTAAGCTTTTATTGGACCAAACTCCATCTGGAAACACACTCTCTAAGCGCTTAATGCTGGAAAGTAGAGAAAACACAGAAAGGAAGAGAAAACAAGCTGTAGAGTCAGGTGTTGTCAAATAGAGATCGAAGGCAAGAATTGATTACTTCTGTTCCTGTAGAGATATGCAGGCAAGCTAATTGTTTAGAAACAGGCTCCTGCAGGTCTTGAGGTTACCACAAATCTTCCCAATTATTTGTTTTTTTTTGTTCTTCTAATAAGAAAGATGAGAACAAGTGCATTTGTGTGGGAGGAACTTCCTCCACTCTTTTGTTGCACTCTCCCACGGGAACTAGGCTGGCGTACAGCTCACTCCCCTATTGCAGCCAGCCTGATAGAAAGCTTGAAGCCATTTGGGAACAGCTCTAAAGAAATTGTAAGCGTTTGTGGGCAGAAAAGAGGAAAGAGCATGGATAGAAGTGCCTACAAAATGTATTTTTATGTAATGTTTTTATATTAAAAGCACTAAATGCACTGATTGCTGTGCTATGCTCTGCCTGATTGACTTCTCGTGGAATGGAAAGTGGAGGCGAGGAGGAGAGGCTGGACAGCAGATCTGAGAGGGCAGCCCACGGTTCCTTGTAACTTAAGGATCTAAAACTTCCCTGAGGTTGAGGTCCTGGTCAAAGCATCATGAAACTAAAGAAGCAATGGAGGTTTTGGCATCTTGCAGTGATTAGGGAAAATGAGTGAAATGTTCACAATCGGGATGAAATACTTTTCAGACCATAGATTTATCTCAGTGGAAAAACACAAATCCTTTGGTTTTTACCCTTGGCATCACTTCTAACCCCAGGACGCCTCCATTCCAATCTTCAGCCTTCAGATCGTAGCTCAGACTGGCCTCTTTCTGAAAGCTTGGAAGCATGGACCTCAAAACAGGTGATGATCCCTTTGCTGTTTCTTCCTCTCCAAAAGTTCATCCCTTAAGGACGAGGGATTAAACACTCTTTCTCTTTTTTTGGTTAGATACTATACTATAAAATTGTATTGAGTAGTAGCTTGTGATTTCAAAAAAGCTTACACTTTGTTAAAAGTGAGTCTTCATAAATCAAACTGAAATTATGTGCTGGGAGGTAGCAGTCAAGATTTCTTTAGTGGAGCAGAAAAGCATGTTGGAAAGAAATCTCTGCAGGCAGGTCAGAGGAGGGGGGAAGAAAACGAAAAGACCGATTTGAGGCTGTTAAATAACAAAAGAAAAGGACAAAGGAAATGGGATTAGAATTTTACACGCTTTCTCCTGAGCTTTTGTTGCTCAAAAATGTTTCATCAGGAAATTGTAAGTACATATGTACTTTTATCCGCAATGAATAGTTGCATAGCCATTCTTTAGCATTTGTAATGCAACACTAATCTCTTACGATTCACTCCATCAGTATTTCAGTCTGAAGAGCTTAGTGGAACTGCCCTGTGCGTCTTCCTCACCATTCACCATGAGAGAAATCCTATCACAGCTACATTAGTTGTGGCAGCGTGTAACGCTGAAAAAAGTGCACTTTAAATACATTGAATGCAATCTCACAGCTAAAAACAGACCCATCTTGCATGTGATCCTACTAACTTGCTAATATAGTTCATAGTTTGGAACTTTAGGGTTTAAAATCTTAACTCAAAATTAGCTAGAACAGGTTATAACCTAGGAGTAGGTCCATGCTTTAAGGAACTTGCTTGCTCCCTTGTAGCGATTTAATTTTTGAAGTGGCTTCCACATACTGTGCAGTGAGGAAAGATTATGCAAGGTCCGGTCATGGTGTGCTTGAAAGGCCTGGAAGTCATCCTGTCTGATAACGGTACAGCTTGATTTTTAGCTCGTGTCTTTCCCCGGGAGTCTCTGGATAATGCTATTGCCATATATTCCTTGAAGGTTTTGTCAGATGGGATGGGACTTAATATTCTTTACCCTCTTTTTGAACATTTATACTATTACACATAGTGTACCATGGAGAGAGCATGCTTTTGCTTCAAAATTTTGCAATGGAAGTTAGTTTAAAAGAAATTCTTCCCAAGTGAGGAAAAAGTATCTTTGAAAACTGACTGTAGGCTTGTTCAGTGACTTGGAGACCCCAGTTGACAGATATGGGACCAGATGTACAAGGAGCTGTAAGATACCATATATATGAAGACGTATTTATTAAAGAAAGAAATTAAAAGACATTCTGTATAGCCAAAAAATCCAGTTTAACTGGCTTAAACAATACACTGAACCTTGTCTAATTCTGAATTACTACTACTTCTAATAAGAGATCAAACAAAAAAGCTTGAAAATCAGTTTAAGGCAAAGCTTTGGGTGACTAGGTGAGGGTCTGATAATAAACTACTTGAATGCTGTTGAAATAAGATTTAAAAGAAAAAAAAAATTCATAACACAGAGACTTTGTATGAAATCCTTGAGGACAGGGCTGCTCATTGCAACACTCGTAGGACAGGAGTGCGTTGCCTTCATTCAGGCTTTCATCCAGAAAAGCAGGACACCAAGGTGTAAATGAGCTGTGCGTGCGAATGAATCTATTTTATATATATAATATATAGCTTTACCAATTATTGATGTGCAGCCCCAGGCAGAGAAGAGTATGACATGACTTCTGCTTGGCAGTTAGGAAAGACTATGTGAACTATGAAAGACTACGCGTGAGCTGCAACTGAACGTGCAAAGGACACAAAGGCCACGCAAACAGCCTGCAGAGATCGGTGGGCAAAGCCAGCCCCGTGAGCCCAGTTCCGCTTTGTTCCAGTCTCCCACGTGTGCTGCTTAGGAGTATGCAAGCAAAGTAACCCCTGGATCTTTTGGGTCACTTAGAAGAGAAAACCAGCTACGTTGTCTGCAGTGGAGGTTGTATAATGGCTGGAATAGTTTATCTTGTGCAAATGTTAGGTAGGCATAGAAGTGTTTCATTTTGCCTAATTGTGAATGAGTGCCAGGCGGAGTTAGATTGTCGGTATGTGTTCCCTATGATAAGCTTTTTAACAAACTTTAATCTAATTTGAACAGCAGAGAAAAAGCCTGAGTAGGAAAAACACATGCTATTGGGATAAAACAGCTGGGCCTATGAGTGTTACCAGCTTTCTCGGGAGAACTTGAGCAGTCCTGCAGAGCTGCGTCGGTTCTGAGTTACTTGCTAAACATCAAACTTCTGTGTTCTCAGAACAGTTTAATAATGTGAAAGTGCAGAGGGCTCCATTCTGCTGTTCCATCAAGTGGGATGCTAATATACCTCTGCTGTCATTATCAAAGGAACTCATTTAGAAGAAAAGAAAATCATTTCGCTTTGATGCCACTTAAGGCCTGGAGAACCCCAAGGTAGGGCAGTGGTCAAAGCTCAGACAGGATGAAGCACAGGAGTAAGCACTCGCATCTATAAAACAATTTCCAAGCTAATGCATTGATGGAGTGGCTCTTTCTAAGGAAAATTAATTTGTATGTGACTGGTACGTAACTTTCTAACCTGGCTGAACAGCGACTGATCAGACTGCACAAAAAGCTACAGTAAATACTTGGTACTGTGCTGATAAGCTGCCACAGCTGCTTGTAAACCCACTGAGCATTTTTTCACTGAAGACTCTTTGCCACCTTCCTCTTCCTCTGGTCTAAAATTAGAGCCCAGACTAGACAGGGAGCAGGGAGGAAATCAGTACGCTTTGCTGACAGTCACTACAGTTGCTTGCCTTTTTTTTTTTTTTTTTTGAGGCAACTAAGAACTGGCTTCAGATGTTCTTGGCCTCCTCCTGCTTTTTATAAACTATGAGATATGGTGGAATTACGTCTCCAACTTTGTAGCACAAAGGATTAATGTTCGTTTTAAACAGTACATAAAGCTGTCAGAGTGCAGCATAAGCTCCAATTTGTCTTTGTGATGACCTGTGGGCTCTCAGGTAGCCAGGGAACAGCTGGACTGAGACAAAGGCAGAACTGTGTAGAGAGCTGACAGCGGGGCGGCAAACTCCACATCACTGATTACATACTTTGTCTTTACAGGCCGGGTTTCCTTTTTCACCTCTGGATCGGAGAACCTTCATCGTGTGGAAAAGGTTCGCTGGGGCACTCGCTATGCCATCACCATCTCCTTTACTTGCAACCCAGACCATGGCATTGGGGACCCAGTCCTGATGTAATTCCTCCGGGGATGGAACATGAGGTCAAATGGAAAGAGAGAAGCCCTGCAAGAGGAGAGGAAAGAGGGAGACAACATATCGTGTAACCTCACTTTCAATTAGCATTTCCCAGCTGTATTAATATATTGTAATACACTTTGTTTTCACATGTCCTTTTCCATAAATGTTGCACACAGTGCCTTAAAGACCATCTTAAATTTGGTGTATTCTGAAAATGGTTTGTCTTCATGTCCTAAAGGGATAGGCTACAAAGAAGAGTCCTGGAGTGGGCTCTTTGTTTGTTTGTAATTGTTTTTTAAATTCTCCAGTTTGAGAGACAAACAGTCTTTTGGACCATGTCTTGACATGGCTCCCCATGCTGCTGTTACCTGTTTATTTATTTAGTCTCTTCAGTTACTAATGGGATGTAGGAAGCTTGACCTGAGTTAATAGAGCCAGGTGAGTGTTATTCTTTTGAACATACCTTCTGTTGAGAGGAGTGTATTCTCCTTCGCATGGGCGTTAGTGGGCAGTACACCTGTGGCTTGACTACTGGGACTTACTTGAACTCTTTTTTTTATTGAATTACTAGAGACATCTTCTGCTGCAGACTGGGACTAGTTAATACAAAGTCAGAAATACAATTCTCTGGTTAGCCAGAAAACGTATTGGGTGTGGGTTACAAATGCTTTGGTGTGCTAGGGAATGTCATGGCATTAGACCCCTCTGATCAGAATGCGGCGTTCCCAATTCACCTCGTTTTCCGAGTCATAACGAAAGTGATCAGTTTTCCTGTTGAAAGCCCAGCGTTAAGGTTAGTAAGAGCTCTTTTTGGAGATGGCTTGACCATGTAACCTTGTACATTAAGTAAATACTAAAAAGGAGAGCTGGGCTGAGGTAATCCCAGTCCTCTGGACTCATCTGCGCATTAATCGATACCTAATTCCCAGGTAGGGCAGTAGGATTTGGGAGGGGAAGAGCTGAGAGGAAAGCTAGTTTTGCTGTGGTTTTCCATATGCCAGTTCTGGCCTCCTTAGGCTCAATCCTGTAAGCCCTGCCTTGCTGGTGGAAGGCTGGCTAACAAAACCACATGGACGGTGGTATTTGGGTCTGAGGAAAACTGGTGTCCACCTGCATTTTAAATTGATATGGTCTTGAGCTGGAGCTCGATCATAAAACACTTTTAGGCCCCATAAATATATGTTTTCAATGTAATCTTAAGACCAAGTTGAAGGAAGCTTGTTTTTTTTATTGCTGACACAAGTATGAATCTTGTGTTGTGAAATACTGTGTTTTTTCTCGTCCAAAACAATGTTTTATCTGTTTCAGAAAGTTTCTGAATAGCTCTTTTTGGGCTTCTCTTTTTCACTTTAGTGTGAAGACTTTTTCTAATAACTAGGACCATTAGTCTGTGGTGTTCCTTGAATAATAAATTGCAAGGACTTCAGAGCAGAGGGGATGATTGTACAGATAAAGTAACAAACAAATGCGTAATCTTGCCAACTACCCTGCTTTCTTATTACAATCAAAGATTTTTGTGGGTCAGTGCATTGGTAAGTAAATGGTAGGAAAACCTATTTTTTTTTCTCAATCATTCTGAAGCAAACATCTTGATTTGTTTTATTAATAATCTATGTAATTTCTGTGAAACACTGAAAATCTGGAAATGTGCTTTGATTTTTTAAATTATTTTTTATTTTATGCATACAGTTTTCACTTTTGTTTTAATCTACCCTTTTATGGAAATAATAATATTGGGGGGGATTACACTGAAGATCAATATAAAGAGGGATGATGACAGGACCCTTGGACTCGTTCTCTTGTGAGTGCTCTCATGTGGCGCACCAGCAAGACTAGTCTGCTGTAATTTCATTTCTTTGTTCTCAAACCTGACAAAGGCTTCCTTGTCCTTGCTGACAAGGAAGAATTGTTAAAATGGCTGGATGCTAGATATGGAACCCAACTGATTCTTATTTCCTAAATACTTCTCTCAAAGCCTGTTAATATCAACAAATTTGCATTACACCCAAGTCGTAAGTCTATGTGAAGGCAGGCTAAGATCACCAGCCACTGCTTTACTGGCTTAAAACTTGATTCCTAATGCTGCCTTGAGATTTAAATGTAGGGCCTTTTCCACAAAACCACCTGATAGCGGTGGAATCTAAATATGAATGGACCTGCGTGGCTTTGGGTCAGGATTCTCCAGGTTGAGGTCCTGTGTTCCAAAACGAACTTCACCGTAAGTCTATCGCCGCTCTGCAACACCATCATAGAAATTGCTTTGCCACTTTTAAAAGTGTTTGTTAGTTACTTCTGTCTCTCGTGCACGCTTTGAGTTGCGCTAAATGAAAATGGCACTTTCAGAGCTGCCCTGTATCATATAAGTATGGTTCAACGAGATCATGTTAGACCATGGGGGAAGTCTCAGCTCATCTCCTCTCGGATTTTCGTCTTTTGAAGACGCTGTGCATTGTAATACCTCCCTCCTCTCTCATGCTATGCGCTGACTGTCATTCAGAAATAAAATCAAGTTGGTATTTGTCTTTTGGAGTTTTTAAGCTTCAGGAAAATGTTCGATGACCAAACCTGTCAAATAAAATCTGTGGAAAAACCCGGGCGCTGTACCTGGTAAGAGAATTCATCTTTTGAAAGAAATGTAATAATTCAATGTGCTGTACGTTTTGGGACCAACCAAGGTTTTTCTATTTGAAGCTTCAATATCCGGACTACTTAGAAGCGATATCTAGATCTATGGAGAAATGAAATAGCAAATGAGGAAGCAGAGTGCGCTCTAAAAGATTCTGAACATAGCCTCCAGCAGGAAAGCAGCCATTGCAGAAAGGCTGGTGTCCCTGGGCAGAGCGGAATTTGCAGAATTCACTGGTCATTAGAAATAAACTTGGCTTAATTTATTTTAGTCCACTTAAACATCCTAAATAACTTTTTATTAAGGGTATCTCTTCCCAGTTCTTGACAGATAATTCTGCATTTGAACTACTTCAATTACTGTCTGTCCTCTTTCAGGTTCAGCCTGCCTGCCGCTACTGGGAGAGGCAGTGCTCTGTTCCTTAGAACTCTGATTGTGCCGAGGACAGGATTTGTTCTATTAAAGCAGCATAAATCTGATGCCAAACTGCTGCAGACAAGTACTCTTAATTGAACGCACGGTGACGGCAGAACTTGGCTTGATGTTTCCCAGCCGTGTGAGACCCTTTGTAAAGAGCCCTCGTGGTTCAGAGTAATGGAAGGTCAGTACGTGTTCAGTGTGAACTGGGGCTAAGTCCTGACATTAAATTTACAGCCTTGTACCTGAAAGTGTGCTTGTGACAAGTATTTGGGAATGTTGATTTGTTATTTTGAAAGAAAAATAGTGGTAAGGAAAGGCAAAGCTTGCTTGTGTGAAAAGTCCCCAGGTGAAACAGAAAACATGGCAAGAGAGCAAGCCAGAGTTTGAACCCGTACCAGAGATCGAGTGAAGCTTCCTGAGGGCTTCTGTGAAATCGTACTACTTTCAAAACTATCTTTCCATTCAAAGGTTTTGGGGAATATCAGGAATTTTTGTAAAATTAACAGGTATGCTATCAGATTAGGTTTTTAGTGTAAACCTGGCTTTCAATCCTGTAGCATGCATTTTATTGTAATTTTTTTATCCCCTGTGACATGATTCTAGGAACTCTGAGTGGACTTCGTGGCATTTCTCATGCGTAAGATTTTCACTGTGTAAGCAGCTGTGGAATCATTGTGTTTTTTAATTCCCCATAAATGAACTGACGATTTGGAAAGGTACATTTCTGTTGAGATTTTCATGAATATGTGTTGTCCACCTGAAATATTCTAAGCTCCATCGTAATGAATTTCAAGTCCAGAAATGTTTACCAGGATTCTCTATTTACAGAAAGAATTTAATTTGGATTTATAGCAGAAATTTAGCTTCATGTCTTATTTTTATAACATCTCAACAGGGTACTTCCCGAGGCTGTAGCACATAATGATGTGCACATTAAATAAAAGCATAGCTGAAATGGCATTGATAATGACTATGCTGTCAAGAAAATCTGGTTTTGTTTCTTCTTCAGTTGCAATTCTTTGTACTCTTGAATTTCTCCTTTACAGCTTTCCTTTCCCCAGTAAAGAAAGATGGCTTTGTTTTTCATATAGAGATCCTCACGTTCCTTCTACATCCAGCTAGCCTTACACAGCATTTACGTGTGTGTCGGATCTCTCTAACACGCTCGTGTGTAGCTTTGAGCAACATTTCTGTCTTGTCTAAATTCTAGGAAATGTTGCTGGAGGTCAGGGCTCTTTGAGGGGGGGGAAAAAATACAGCCACCGACCCCCCCTCCTTCTCTGTCCTCCCCAAAAAAATCCCAACTCCTGTTTCTCCTTTTTGAGTCCCTTGTGTGGAAATCCAACCAAACACTCCAAGAACAGCAGAGTTATTTCCTTTCTGAACCGCAGCTGGCTCTGACATGCATCGATCATCTTCGCCTCATTCGGGAAGGCAGTCTTCTCAGGAAAGCCGGCTGAGAGCGCCATCGTGAAGTGGTGTCTATGGCTCCTCGTAAGATGCTGTGAAGACCTATAGTGTGCTGTGCCTTATCGCGGGTTCTGTAAACCTTAGGAAGCCGAAAGCTAATTTGATGTTGTGTTTGCTGAAACCTGCCAGTCAACTCTTTTTTAATGACAAGCCAGTTATCCCTAAAGTATCTCGCTAGGCCCTTTTTATCTTCCATGTGAGTGTTGGTGGCTTGTACTAAAGCTTTTCAGGATGGACTGTCCGAGGAAAATAACTCTGTCCTATTTCGAAACTGCACGTCTGTCTGTGGTTCTGTCCATCGTCTCCCCTCAAATCACCTATTTCATCTCTCAGTTCTGTCCCCGCATACTTACGCCTTTACCTGTGGCATATATTGAGTAGGGTACATCATCATAAGCTCAGTCCCTGATTTATTCATAGACTGGCTCGCTAGAACGGAAAAGGAACCAGCTTTTTCCCTATGACACTTTTAGCCCATGCAGTG